AGAAGGATTTAAAGAATATCTAGTGCTATAATTGCAAGAAATTCGGGCGCATTATGAAATACTGTAAAACACCCAAGAATGTGAATCCCAAGGGTGATAGGGAGCATGCTAAGCTGGCCTTAAAGAAGGGTTGTGGTGTTTTGACTTAGGATCCACCGCCCATGTGTCGAACACCAAGGATGGCTACAAAAATTTTAAGTCTGTTGGCCCTGGGGATCAACATATCTACATGGGTGGAAATCAGAAGACTAAAATCCTGGGAATTGGGGATTATGCCCTTTAGTTAGAGAATGGCAAGAGCATGGTCCTAGAGCAAACTCTTTATGCTCCTTATATGAGAAAGTTTGATTTTGGTCGCTAGATTGGCTAAGGCTAGATGCGACACCATCTTTGTTGGGAATAAGGTGAAGGTGTTTGCAAATGAACTCGCCATGAATGGTCTTCTTGTTGATAGTTTCTTATGGTTGCAATAAAGAATTCCATTTCTTATGTCTTGTGTTATAATGATGATGATGATGCATCCATATGAATATGAGATTGGGGCATATAAATAATAAAATAATGGAGTGATTAAAGAGAGAATAATTATTGAAAAATCTAAATGGAGACTTAACCAGAGTTTGTGAATCATGTGTTCAAGGAAAACTGGTTTGGAAATTCTTGCGAAAGCTCAAAGAGCTATTGGCATTATAGAAGTTTTCATAACTATATTTGGGGACCTATAAATATGGTCACTAAGGGCCAAAAGAGGTACTTTATCACTTTCATTGATGATTACTCCCGTTTTGGCCATGTGTACTTGTCATGGGAAAAGTCAAATGCTGTTGACCATTTCAAAGAAGACAAAGCTGTGGTAGAAACCCAAAAAAAGGGGAAAGTTAAAGAATTTAGACCTGATGGGGATAAAGAATATTTCTCACTATTATTTAAATATTTTTGTACTATCATGGTACCATGCACAAATATAATATGGCGTAAACTCAAAGAAAAATGGGGTAGTAGAGAGACGGAATAGGTCCCGGTGGAAATGGTGGGGAGCATGCTAAACTCTCCTTAGATTTTTAGGAGAAGCAGTCTTAACAATTAGTTACGTTCTTAACCAGACTCCCACAAAGATTGTCCCACTAACTTCTCATGAGATTTTCAGTGGTTAGGGTTTGTCACTTGAACATCTTAGAGTGTGGGGATGCTTTGCCCATGTCCTAATACCCCATTAAAATATGACAAAATTAGAATCGAAAATTGTGAAGTCCATGTTCATAGGTAAGGGATACCATTTTTATAATCTTGATATAGGGGCTGTCTTGAGAGCAAGGATGCTCGATTTCTTGAGGAAGAGTCCCTTGAGGGTCGTGCCACTTGTAAACAAGTTGAATTTTCTAAGAGAAAGTGACCTGAGTTAGGCCCAAGATACCAAACCGCCTCTTCCTAGGAGAAATAACCAAATTAGGTAGAAAACGTGAATTCTTCACCTACTTAGGAGAATATTATGAGAAGATTGAACGACAATCCTACATGAACCGTGTTCCATCAAGAAGCCATAAATTGTCATGAATAGGCACAGTGTGAAGAAGTCCCGATTGATGAACGTAACTTGATCAAACAAAACCATATTTGGAATTTAGTAAACCTCTCCTGATAGAAAACCTATAGTCTGCAAGTGGATCTATAAGGAGAAATTGAACTTCGAAGGGAAACTAGAAAAATACAAAGCTAGATTGGTGGCTAAAAGGTCTACCTAGGAAGGAGTAGATTATGATGAGACCTTCTCCGTTGTAGCTAAGTTCACTTCCATTAAGATCCTAATAGCCATAACAACCCATTTCGACTTCGAGCTCCACTAGATGGATGTTAAGACTGTATTTTTGAATTGGGGCTAGAAGAATAAATTTACATGAAACAACCAGAGGGTTCATAGAAATGGAAAAGGAAAACCTGGTGTGTAAATTTAGGAAAGCCCTTTATGGCCTTGAACATGCATCAAGGCAGTGGTACATTAAGTTTCAAGAGACCTTATTAAAAGCTGGTTTTGGGCGTAATCGGGATTATTCTATGTATGTCAAGGTTAGTGGGAGTGATGTTGTGTTTATCACTTTATCTCTTTATATATGGGCTACATGTTAATTGCCAGTAGTTCAATGTCACTCACGTTCGTTATAAAAGCTCTATTATCACAACATTTCAATATGAAAGATCTTGGAGAGGCATCATATGTTTTGGGAATTAAGATCATAAAAAATAGAAGAGAGAGAGCCATTCAATTAACTCAAGAGACATATTGTAAGAAAATTCTAGAAAGATTTGAAATCGAAAATTGTAGGCCCATGTTAATGCCTGTGATAAGAAGACCAAACTAAGCTTAGCTATGTGTCCCATGACTCCAAAAGAAAAGCAAAGAATCTCGTACAGAGTGCAGTTAATCAATAATGTACACTATGTAAGGGATAAGGCCAAACTTATCATTTGCTATGAGTGTGATTAGCAGGTTCTAGAGCAATCCAAGCATGTAGCACTAGAAAGCAATCAAATGAGTTTTGTGATAATTAAAGGTAAAGGTTAGTCACATGCTCGCGAATGGAGGAGGCTCGGATATATAGATATAAGGATATTCAGATGTGGACTAGCAGGGAAACACAAATGCGGTGAAGTTCACATTTGGTTAAATCTTCACTTCTATAGGTGTAGCTGTTTCCTGGTGCTCAAGCAAACATGATGTCATTACACTCTCCACTATGGAGTCAAAGTATGTGGCTTGTTGTCTCACAACTAAAGAAGTAGTCTGGTTGAAGAAGTTCTTGAATCAACTTAAATTCAATCTAGTAAAGTGTCTGTTGTAAGATATTCTATGACAGTTTGTCAGCAATATATGTTACTAAAGAGCCACAGTTTCACAAGAAATCAAGGCACAATAAGGTGGACTATTACCACATCTGCAACAAGATCTAAGCTGGAGAGATTGATGTTACCCTTCTCTCGATAGGGTCTATGTTAGTAGATCCTTTGATGAAAGGATTAGTGCCAAATGTATTTGCCAAGCATGTACAATCGAAGGGCCCTAATGAGATTGAGAGGGAGCGATTGTACGGCCTTTAAAGGTCAAGTAGGAGATAATGGGATTTGTATCCTTTAAGGGCCATGAAAGCATGCAATTAACATTTATAATGGATTATATACTTTAGTGGGAGTGTGTGCTATTTGACTAACCAAGAGTTAGGCGGTCTATGGCCCTGATCATGTTTAAAACCTTTACCCCTGGCATGTGGCACTGCCAATGGTCTTCTCTTATTGAGATCGGAGAGATGCCTAGGGTTAGATTGTAGGTCAGGAGATGTGTGTTGTCTCATGTATGTGGATGTAGGCCTGTGAGAGCAACGACTAAATCCTCAACAAACTTTTGCACGACATGTACATATGACATCCGCATTACCAAGAAGCAACCCTAAAAAAGGATACATGTACATGTGCATAGAGAAAGTCTTCCTTGCACTATAGGATTTGTGCTTGACTTGCTCTTAAGGGAGGGAATTGTCGTCCACATTTTGGGACTATGAATCCACTATTTATTGGCCAGCTTTGATGAGCCAATCATGAGCCCCTGCATCAGACTGTGGGTCATGAGTCTCGTTGGATCGGTTTGAGAAGGCAATTGTGGATCATGCTCACTGAATCGGGTGGACTGCCCTTACAATCACTTATTTTGACCCATTGGTACCTGTCCACTTCTAGATATTTTATTTTTAGTATTAGAAATATTTCTGCAAATGTTATTTTTTCATTAAAGATATTTGAAGTTGGTTAAAGTTAATCTTTTAAGATAAAACATTATGTGTGCTCATTTTGTGAGAGTTAGTTTTGACCAAAAATATTTTATTTTGACTTGTTACAATTTTTAAAGAGATAAAGAGGAAGTTCTAGAAGGTTTTAAATTGGTCTTATCCTATAGTTAGACTAGAAGTGGATACGGGCCATAGATCAAGGGGATAAAGTTCCTAATATTTCTCCCTAAATCATGATGGTTAATTTAAGGAATGGGTGACTCAAATTTATTTTACTCCCACCTCACATATTTCTTGAATTCCTATTGGTCAAGGTGAGTCATAATTAGATATTGGTCAAGGTGAGTCATAATTAGATAGGCATACCTAGGGGGGTTGAGTCCTATATAAGCAGGGGACCCCCTTCATTCTCTATACAATATTCAATAGCCTCGTTCTTTTGATTTCTCTCCTCCACGCTCCACTCTCTCGCCTCTCATTTCTCTAGCTTTCTCTCTCCTCTCTCTCTAGGTAGCACGCCACCCATATAAGAAAAGAAAGGGGGTGACACGCCTAACCCTAATTAGGGTTTGAAGAGAGGGGCACACGCAACCCTAGAAAAGGGAGGTGCCTTGTGGCATGCCCTAATTATTTCAAAAAGGGGTTTCCAATACTTTAATTATGTTTATGCTCTATAGAACGTAGTTTGAGAGATATTGCCTTAGGAAGCTTCCTGGCTCTGAAAATTCAGCAAGTATAATAGGATTGAAGTGCACTATCAGTCAAGAAATTGGATGTGGAGTGTACCCTATGGGGATGACTTTAGGCATAATCAAGTAAGTCTTCCAGGCTCCTTTTTTTTTTTTTTCTTTTTTCAGTCATATTTGCATATTTATTCTGAGTTTCCAGGAACATTAGTTGTACTTAAATTGTTAGTGGAAGCTTGGTTTTCATTCCTGGACTGTGTTTATTAAATTCAGCCATAAAAGGAAACATCCTAGATTGTATTTAGGGATTTAGTTTTCATTTATGTCACATTGTATTGTGAAATTCAGATTCAATAATAAGATAAAGAAGAGTTTATTTTATTTTATTTTGTAGTCTTGACTTACACATAGCCACATCTTTCATATATGACTTGATCTCATTTCCTTTCTAGAGCTGATTAGAACTATGCCTGGCTTTTCTACACAAATTGAGAAGAACCATTGATTTGCCAACCTATTTTGACTTTTCGCTGTGCAGATTTGTCAAGGAGTGGTGACCACTTTGCACCTTTATCAAGGAGCATTTGTTGACATTGGATGTGTACATGATGGGTAATTTGCCAACTGTGCCTCTGGTATATGATCATGCATTAGTTTTGCTATTGGTTGTGGGATATGGGTATCATACTCTTCCGATGTTAGTATAAATTACACTTAGCAAGTCTGGTTGCGTATAAACGAGTGCATGATAATTTTTTCATTTCGCTTGCTAGTTTGCGACATTTGTAATATAGTATAGTGAATGGCTTTCTTTAAAGCCATTGGCACATCATACTTCTCATTGGCATGCATTGCTTTTAACATAGTACTTTTCTTCCTAATTGGTTATATAATACTATGGAAGGATGTCAAAAGGTGTTCATAAATAAATAAAGATTGGTAGGTGTTTTCCTTATTTTATAAAAAGGTTATTGCTTTTGAGGCTGACCACTACGCTTTCTTAAGTCTGAAACATAATAGTGTACTTATACCAAGAGAATTCATGCATTAGTTTTCTATCATCTTACCCTTCTAGCTTAGTGGTGGATTATTTTTCCTTTTTATTGTAATTTAGCTCCTAATACATATTCTCACGATCTGAGATATATGTCCAAGTAATTTCAATCTATCAGATTCAAAGCCTTGAGGGAGTGATATGTGTTGGGTGAGTGTAGCCATTAAAGGCCTTATGAGTACTTGTAAAATGAAATGATATAGTGGAACATGAACTCAGTGAGAGTGTGGTCCTTTGTGGACCATACTAAACAAACGATGTTTTTTGATACTGGATTGTGCTTGACGTGCTAGGTCGGTCTGGTTGGGAAAAACCCATGTTACCTGGGCATAGAGAAACAAACCGATGAGAGTTATATAGGTTATCCCTTGATAAGGTCGGAATATGCCTGGATGAGTGAGCCGAGGGACTGTATGACCCTTGTGTGTGATGGAGGCCTTCAGAGACGGGGCTAAAGCCTCATCATTTGTACTATCACACGACATGAAAATTGATAGCTGTTTTTGAGAAAGAGTGCCACCTTTCAGGGTGAAGCGTGTGCATGAGAAATACCCCCTGGGCACCATCGAACCATGGATTGCATCAGGTCAGGATGACCTTGGTTTCGTCTCCAGGGGGGACCTAAAATCCATATACTGGGACTGCGACCCCTTGCCTATTGGCTAGACTTTGGTGATCCACTAATGATCCCCTGCGTGGACTGTGGGTCATGGGCAACGCTGGGTCGGTTTAAGAAAGCATGTGTAGTTCGTAGTTCGCTGTTGGACATGGAGTGCCTCAGTGGATATTTTATTCCTAGACCATATAAATCATTTTCCCATCAAAGTATTTAATTTGGTTTATTATAATGATATATGATTTTTAGAAATGTTATTTGAATTTTTCTGAATCTCTGGATATTTTATTTATCAAATTTGGATTTATCAAAACAAAGATATTGATTTTCTAGTGATTTAAATATTGAAATCATGATTGTGTATTTCTAAAACTATAAAAAATATTATAATTGCATGAGAGGTCCAAAAGGTCTTTTGGGCTCACCATAGCAAATTGGGTGGTGCCCATTATGTGCCACAATGGGTTGCACGCCCCATCTATGGAGACTTTCTATTTTGTAAAGCTTGAGACATAAGTTTCTGTTGTTTTAGAAAGTTTAAGCTTTGAGGAAAATTCGAATAATATTTTGGAATGTATTAGAAGACTTATGCATAAAATAAAAAAGGATAATATTATGATATATTAATTTCTTATTTGAATTAATTGATGGGAAAATGGTTTAGGAAGTGGGGGGTAATGGTTCTAGCACCTTCCATGGGATGTTGATGACACATCTATGGAATAGATAACTCATATCTCTCACCCCACAAGTCACCCAAGATCAATGGTGCATATTCAATCTCACATGAGTGGCAAGCCGAGGAAAGCCCTAAAAAATCCTAATCTTGTTCAAAGCACTATAAAAAAAAGATTAATCCCAACCCAAATCTCTACACCTTATCTCTTTCACAGTTTTCATCTCTCTCTTAACCTACCAAAGGGGCATGCCCCACTTAGAGTATCTCTCTCCAATAGAAACTCTCTTTCTCTCTCTTGAATGCCCTAAAGGTGGGGCACGCCCCACGCTCTCTCATCTTATGGTTCTCTCTCATGGTGTCTCTCATGATCTCTCATCCCTCATTGGGGTTTAGACTATAGACTTGTGGTAGAAAAGAGAAGTGTTTCTCTCTCAAACTAGGTTGCTAAGGGGATTCACCTAGGGTTTGATTTTGTGATCAAAGGGGTTCATGTTTCATTGGTGTGGCTTGTCCAAACTTATTTCCCCTTTGAGATTGAAGGTTGACCATTAGAGCCCGCACCATCGGAAGGTGGTAACTCGTTGTGGGGTGTAAGAAGCCCGGTTGAGGTAATCTCCAGTACCCTCTTTTGTTTCTTACTTATTTGTTTTATTGCTTTCTTCATTCCCAAGCATACTTTGTGTCGTTTCTTTTGTTAATGAAAAATGTGGTTTTGAATGGCTTCAAGTTCTTGAGATCCTATTGTATTCTTTTCTTTTATGTTATTTGAAGTGATTATATTGTAAAAGGACTATTTGTGAGTGATCTAAGCTGTGAAGAAAAGAAAAGAATTGCAAAAGAAAGAAAAAAATTATTATATACTTTGGCTAGATCACACGTGTCCTTCTTTCAATATGTATTAATGTATGGGGTCAATTCTTGACATGATAACATAGCTCGTGGGATCTCTTGTTGAAAGCGTATGCGGGGCTTCTATCCTTGCTTTCCTTTGAATTTAAGTTTGAACTTCTCTCCCATTACTATACTGATCTCAGTTAAACAATGTTTTGTCAGACGGAGGAAAGGACAGTGTAGTGCTTAACAATCATTAGTGCAGCACCATTTGAATGAAGAATGATAGCGAAGGACTTGTTGTTTCAGCCATAAAGAAGAGTTGAGATCAAGCTGCATGCATGAATATGCGTCTTTCTTTTTTCCCCTTCTTTTTTTGGCTAAGCGAATTAATAGGCCTTAAAATTGTATAATCTTATTTTTTAGAGATCCAATAAGTGACCTTGATAAGAATCAGATTCCAACTAATTATAGCTAAATGTTCTTGCTTGTCAAGGGAAAGTAGAAGAATGCTTCTTGGGCAACTTCAGGTCGAAATCACCTGTTTACCACTTTTGACCTTTGGGATGGTACTGACACAAATTGAAGCTGAAGACTTTTTGTTTCTACCATTCTTCATCTGTTGAACTTTGGATTCCTTTTCCTTAATATTTCCCTCTCTTTGATGGTTGTCATGGGTGTCATCTAATAAAATTCTAGACTCTTCAAAAGCCCAGTTCTTGACTCCGGAGATACTAATATTCTGTTCGACCAAAGATCCGACGGTTGAGTATTTAGGGGTATTTTCTTGATTATTGACCAACTGAATGGTTTTCTGTTCCCCTTCCCTCGGATGCCCTTTTTCGTATTTAGGGGTGGAGATCCCATCCATCTAGGTCTAGTAACCTTAAATTAGCAGACCTTATTCCTGAGATTGTCTTTATTGTTGATTTTAGAAATATCTCTCCATTGAAGAAATGGGGCATCTAAGACTCTAGATACTTTGCTGTTTCCTTGACAGAGATTTGTGTGGTGGAATGCAAGTATGACATAGATTTCAACTTAGCTGTTCTATTTTTCTAAATATGAGGTAGCTGTTCCTTTCTACTTTTTTTGCCTCTCTATATCGTTATAGTTACTTATTGAAAACCTTGAACTGTTCAATTTTTATTATGGATTCACGTGGCAAAATAATTGTAGCTGTGCCATTGTCGTACTGAATTTCAGCTTTGTTAGAATATATAATTAATGAGTTTTTGTTTTCCCCTTTTCTTCAAGATCTTATCTTTCTGTCACATTAATTACATTTCTTTAATGATCTAGGTGGGTCCCGATTAAAGGAAATGATTGGTTTTGGATACGCCATCATATAAAGATTGGTATGCATGTCTATGTTGAGATTCTGGTAAGTGAAAAGGACTTAGCAGATATGATACTTTAATTGTTTACTTTTTATTTACCTACTGCCACTATATCTGCTTCTTAATGGAAAAGAAGGAAATGCCTTAAGTTACCCAAAAGCATTCATCTTTCGTCATTTGTAGGCGCATTTAGGTACTACTTGGCATTGAACCAAAAATTCTATTTGCTTGGTCCTGCTTCAACCCAAATATGTGGTTTACGTTTCATATTTGGAATACATTATTGTTCGCCTATTACTGTTCCTACTGAACTGACTCTTCAATTGAGCTGTAATAATGGTGGGATTGAATCTAGAATGCACCTTTATAGATACCTACTGTGAGCAGCGATACTAGATATAAACTGCTTCAATTCGGAATGAGGAAAACAATTGGTGCTGCCTGTTATTTTACTTTGGCGCTTGGCTGATGGGTTAATAAACGTGCAGGCTTGGAGGTATAGGTGATACTGATCAACTGTCAGTTGCATGTCATGTACCATATTTGTTTGCCTTGTCCTGAGCTGCATCTGTGCCATCCACAAAACATGATCGGTTGCATTCTCATTAATTCTCCTTTTTATACAGCCACATTTCCGAAAAGTTGGACATGGAGAAATGTTTTGGGGTCATCTGGGACTTGGGAACTGCGAAATACATTAAGTAGCTGTCAAGGCATTTGCCTCCCATCTTAGAGGTCACTTTTATGCTGGCCACCTGCCATTATCTAGATGAATCCTACTATATGAAGGTATGTATACATATCTGTTTTTGTGTCTCTCCCTCTCTCTGACAGGAGTGTCGTTCCACCAGTAACATGAAATGGATACCTGAGAGTACTACAAATGTTTGTTGTAGAAACTATTCTGGAAATATGACTTATATCTCAGTCTTCTTGTCCCTCTTCTGTATAGTATGAGTTCAAAATCCTGCCTTTGCAGAACTGGTGTAGCCTCTTTATGGAGACATATAGGCTTTGGGTACTAATAGATGCTATTGATTAGAGATAAGTACCTAAAGAAGCTGTATCACTGAATAATGTGGAGTGGTGGCCTTTCAAGGTGAAACCCCGACATATTATAGCTCTTGAGCACAATGGGAGTGTACGAGAGCGACGTGACTCTAGGATATTGGTGCACTCGAGCCAAGAGTCACATAACCCCGAGAGTCAAGAGGTCAGTATATATATATATATATATATATATAGGGTTTGTCTAGAGTTAACAACCCCTCAAAATACAGAGGTTCAAGTTAGAAGGGGTTGTGATGGGTGTATTTATCAAAACAATGATTAGTTTTTCATTAAAAAATTATTTAAATAGGTAACTTTATCATTAAGCAAGGGCAAATTTGAAATTGTTACAAAAATACAATGCCATTTTGGAAGTTAGTCTTCTGGAACTTTATTTGTAGAGTGCCCTTGTCTTTTAGTTAAAATTTCAATTTTACCCCTTATGGAGATGACAAAAGTACCCTTTGTCTTGTAGTAATATTTACCAAATTGCCCCACAAAAGTAACATTTTTTAAAAAATAGACTACAAAATTAATAAATCCACCCTTCACAACTCCCTCTATCTTGAACCATTGTAATTTGAAGGGCTGTGAAGTTTAGATTATCCCATATATATATATATATATGTATATATATATATATGTATAGAGCTAAATTTTTATAAAAATCTGAAATATAATTTAGACATTCCAAAAACCTTTGTAATTCAGTTTTTTCTAAAATAATATCTGGGAATTTACTAACAAATTCTATAGCTCTATCAATGGGAATGATATTTCCTTGATATATATTATGACCCAAGAATCTTATCTTGGTTTGGCACAGACTAATTTTCTTAGCAGACACTACGAGGCCTGCTGCTTTGATCGCATTTATAAAGACGTTTATGTGTTTGATATGTTGTTGAAAAGGCCGAAAATATTAGAACATCATCAATATAAATAATCATAAATTTTATATAGGGATTGAAAACATCATTCATAATATTTTGAAATTCGGAAGGAGCGTTTTTGAGCCCAAAGGGCATTACGTTCCATTCGTATTGTCCAAAAGGGACATTGAAAGCAGTTTTGTATCTATCTTTTTCAGAAATTTGTATTTGCCAATATCCTGACTTAAGATCGAATTTAGAAAATATGCAAGCATTGAGAAGTCTATCTAACTAATCTTTTTTATTTGGAATAGGATACCTTACCCATTTCAGTACCTTATTTAGCGGTTTATAGTTTATCACTAGTCTAGGGACTCCCCTTTCTTTCTCTGAAGCTTTGTCAACATAAAAAGCAGAACAGCTCCATGGCGACGAACTTTTTCTGATTAGCTGCTTATCAAGTAATTCATCGATTTGCTTTTTGCAAATCTGAAGGGGTCTAGGATTCATTTGAATGGGTCTAGCTTTAGTATGATTATTTCTTTCATGAAAGTTTTCTTCGTAAGGCAAACTTACTATGTGTTTTTTTCTATTCCAGAATGCACTAGGCAAATCAGCGCATATTTCAATTTCTATTTTTGTTTTTATTTGATTAATTATTTTAATATTTTCTGGGAGAGCAAGTTTCTCATTTATTTGTTTATATCTTATTTTTTCTTTTAAATAGTATAAGAATTTTTCCTTATTTTCTAGGGTTTGTTTGACACTATTTATTTATTTTTATTTTTGGTTTATCAATAAACTCAAATCTAATATTATGTCCATTAAAATTAGATTCAATTTCTGAACTATCATTTTTTATTGGATATAGTAAATTTAAAAAAGGTGTTCCAAGGATCATTGCTTGGTTTAAACCTTTGACCATTATAAAAGGCGTTTCAAGACAATTACCATTATTACATATTGCAGCTTTGGGTAACTTATAATTTATTATCAGTCTATTACCGTCTGCAGTATTTAATATTTGTGTTGTCTTACTAAGTATTTTGTTGGTACTAATCCTTGATTTATGCAATTGAGGTCAGCCCCTGAATCTATTAAGGCTAGGGACTGAAAACTATATTCATTTCCAACAACTATTCTTATTAAGACAAACCATTTTTGTGTAATAACTTTATTGAGAAGATTTATGTTGTCATCAGTTTGTATAATATCTTGTTTTGATTTGATGATTCTGGTGTGTCAATTACTGGAGATAGGGGGTTTTTATAATTATTTATGATACTATTAAATTTTAGTTCTTCATCTGATTCTCCAGGGTATCATGTATATTAGATGCTAACTCTAAAACCCTTATTCTATTTTTAAGAATTATTAATTCATTTTTTACTTATATTAATTCATGCTTAAGTTCAGCAACAGATGACTCTTTTTGACTATTGTCTTTTTTATTAATCCTTTTCAGGATTTTAGCTAGGCTATAGTCGTCTTGTGTTTTAATAAGAGGGGAGGTTTTCTTTTTATTTTTTCTATTTGAGTAAATTGGGTTAAAGCTTCTCTCTTTGCTTCAGGGTCAGTGATTTTATCTATTATTTCTATAATTAGATTATCTTCCTCAGTAAGAGTCTGACAGAAACAATCCTCTATTTCCATTTTTTCTTCAGAATCTGAGCTACTAAATACTAGACTTTCGTCTTCTATTTCTCCAAGTAGGCTCTGGGTCAGCTTGATGAGCTTATATCAGATGTTTCATCTAATTGCAGGATTTGATATAACTGATTTTTTACATCATTTTCTATTTGCAAAGTATTAATTTTCTTTTTTATTTTACAACTATTTTTATAATGTCCTACTTTTCCACAATTATAACATACTGGTAGTTTCTTTCTGCCCTTTGATTTCTTAAAGTTATTTTTTGGGGCAAATTTTTTGTTAAATTTCTCTTTATTGCTAAATTTACTAGTTTTATGGCCAGATTTATGTTTTTTATATTTATTTTTCTTTTTATGAGTTTTATCAGATGGTGGAATAGTATTATAATCGAACTGTTCGCAAAAATCAGCAAGTTCTTTCTTGCCCGTCATTCTTTGTTTGTCTAATTGCCTCTTAAGGTTTAGATCGGTACACAGGGCAAGTCCTTCTTCACCGATTTCTGCATAAAGTTCTCCTAAAGTGTAAAGAGAATATGGTATTATTCCATTATTTTTATTCTTTAATAGTCTTTACCTTTTCCGCAAATAAGTATGGTAGGCCTGCTATAAACTTCTCTTTCCAATGATCTGCACTGCTATCTTCTCTTGACAGAAGGCGAGAAAAGAAGACGTCCTTATACCATTTATAGTGAGATAAAGTCGGACATTTTAGATTGGATAATAGGTCTTCTGACCTAGCATCTAACAAAGAGGTACTGCCTACAAAATGTAGGGTTATAGTATAAATAGGTGTATTTATGGCATCACTTTCACTTTGGGGTATTTCTTGATTATATTCATTTTTTAGAGTCCACTGTCTTGTAGCATTTAATATCTGTTGTTTAGCGGTTTCACTCATGTGGAAATCCCACCATCCTTTTAACCATCCTGTGAAACCACAAACAATGGCCTTAGCCACCTCTTGATCATGGTTTCCTGCTACTTTACATTCAGTGGCATACATGGTCATATGTTTCATTGTATCTAAAATTTGATGGTCAGACATACCATCGATATTCCAATTGACTATAGTTCTCCCTAAATAGATACAGTACTAGAGATTAGGTCTTCCTCAAACTGTATATCCACTGGGGTTGGCCTAGTATGGTACATTCTTGATTGGGCCGTTGGTCTCCATTTTCTTCTATAATCTATTCTATTTATGCTTTGGCTAAGTTCGTCTTCTTTAAAAGCTTTTTCCTTGTTTTGTATATCTTCAAGGTTTTCTTGTAATACCAAAGCTTCTGATTCAACTATCATACTCTTTCCCCTTTTTATCTTCCTTTATATTAAGCTTGGAAATTTTTTTTATTAGTTCATCAACTAACTCTTTATTTTCTTCTTTTTTCTTTATTCCTTCCAAGCTGAATCTTCCTTTATTTAATTCTGGAGGAGGTTTGAATAAGACTGCCTTTGTTGGTTCTCCTACCCCTTTTATGGCTTGGACCTTACTAACTATATTTTCAATCCTGGTAGTTTGTTTACCAATGGATTTAAGGTATAGATTAGTATAGTTATTTTGTTCAATTATATGAGGAATGACATCTATCTTATGGCTATGGTGTTCATTTTCTTTTGGAATTAACTTATACGGGGTAGCTTTTGTATCAGGTTTTTCTTTCAAAGTTCCTTTTATTTGAAGGTTTGTTTCAGGCGGATGCATACTTTGCATTTCTTCGCCTTGGTTTGGTATTGGTTTTCAATGGTATTTAATTCAAATCTAGGAACTACAATGTCCTTTTCTTCTAAGGTAGCCCTTAACCAGATAAAAAATCCTATATTTTGTTTATTCTTTTTTACGAACTTATTATATCTCTTATGTAGAGCATCCAACATTTCTTAGGGAAACTCTTCTAGATACCAATTTCTTATAGTTTTATTTTCTTTGGCAAGGTAATCATCTTTTAAAGAATCTATATCCATTTTGAATTTCCTTTCCTCCTGAAGTGTTAGAACACTAAAATCTAGATCCGAAAAGGTCGGTTCATTTCCAGTAGAATGGGATTCATTGATTCTATAGACTAGTAAATGGATATTACTATCAGTTCTAGTTAATCCTTCTATTATTGACCTATCTTGTATTGAGGAGGTAGAGTTCCTAGA